ATCTACAGGTTTGATCTCTGGAGAATTTTCATGCAGTTGTGTTGGCCCCTTCTTCCTCTCCCTGCTTTGCCTTCTCTCACAGCAGCACTGGTGGCTGTGTGGGTCAGAGGGGGTCGCCTGCTGCGCCCTCTTCCTGCCAGGTTAAGCAGTCGCCCTCCAGGTGGCTTTGTGCTTACCTACACCTAGAGATGGCCTTGAGCACAGGTTATCAAATGCCTGAATGCCTTGGCTGAGCAATGAATAAAGGCAGGAAGACAGCTGATCTAACAATGTGTCTTAAACAATACAAAAAGTGGAAGAGGAACTAGGAATTAGTTTAGAATCAACATTTCCTTGGGGAAATACCATGACGGTGTTATAGTTGTTTCCCTTGATCAAGTATGTAACAACTGGTTAGTATTGAAAATTGCCCCAGTTCAATGGTAAAGAGATGCAAACACAGTATATCGTTTTCCTCCAGTCAATTTCCCATTTCAAATGTAATGTGAATACCTTAAGACGAGAATATAGTATACATTCATCTGACTTGCATGACTTTTAATGTGAATGTATTCAAGCAAAAATCATGTGAAATATCTTAGTCAGGAAATGAAAGGTGAAGCATAATTAGCAAAGAGAAACTTGCTGGTTCTTTGGAGGAAGTAGAGATGCTGCAATAGAGGAAGGCACAAAACCAAAATAATTTTGGAGTGCCTCTGAATGTAATGAGAGGAGAGAGATGCTATGGCCAAGATTCACACAGAAAGAGAGTTGCAGGGGGTGAGGCAAAAAACTAACATGGTGTCGCTGATTTTGGCAATAAAGATTAGGAGAAAAAAATATTGAGAGATGATGTTAAAAAATAAGGGCAGGAATTAGCTAATGTCTGGTTGTAAAAAGAAATGGAGAAAGTAGAGTCATAGCTGATTATGAGGTGACAAGCTTGGGTCAGCGAAAGGACAGTGGGTGTTAACTGACAAAGCCAGCGAGGGTGAGAGAGGAGGAGATGAGATGAGCACAAAGTACTAGAGGGGGGGTTAGATTAAGGAGTGATGAGATTCTGGGTTGCAACTGAATCGAGAGTGAATAATTTGAAGAAGAAAGTAGAAGATTAGAAACGATATAAATCTGCATCCTTTCAGGATCTGAGCAGGGAGAAGGAAAACAAAGAGTGATTCAAGGAAGTAAAGAAATGTGGGAGGCAGAGAAACGTGTAGTGGGGAGTGTACAACTGTTCCAACAACAGAGAGGTCCAGAAAGGGCTGGCAGAAATACATAAAAAATATATATTTCTCTAACTTTATTTCATATTAACTGGAGGAAGGATTCTCAATATTTTTAATCACATTCATTTTACAATATGGATTTATTATTCAGGTAAATATTATAAAAGCATAGAGAACAGGATTCTGAAAACGTGCTTAAGAGCTCTTACCTTATGGAAGTCATTTAAGTGCTTGTTGAATGAGACCAACTTAGGAGGAAGGCAGGTTGTTCTCAAGCTTGTTTTGGGCAGGACTTATGGACAACAACCCTGTACAGATTTATGTTAATATTTAATTTAAAATATTTGGATCACTGATATTAATATGACTGGTAATGGTAAGTATAAATATAGTTGTTTAAAAGTCTTTGTAGAGCTCAGCCTTAAGTACAAGGTGGTATATCTAGCTGCGCTACAAGTTTAGATATGAAAAGAGTACAAAAAGGTCCTCATTGAAAGCTTAAATTTTGTATTCAGTACTTTTCCCTAGAGTTTCAATTAGAGTATGAGGACATTAAAATTAAAATACAGTCTCAATCATTAAATTTAGTTCATTAAGCATTTGCTCCACATTTTGAAAAAGTACATTTTTTAAAGACAATATACAAAAGGGAGACATGGAAGGGGCAGTGTTTAGCAGAAAAAGTGTGGGTGCGATTTTTTTTTTGAAGTATAACTATCTGTCAGACTCATCCGGGATAACTAGAAATTGGGAGGAGGAAGGGGCTTCAAGTTTCTTTTCAGTATCAAGGATGTAGTTCCATATATGTCTGCCACTGCTAAAGCTTATAGGCCCAGCTGCGGGGCTGCTTGCCTTCTAGTGAACTGAGGAGTAATTCCTTTGTAATTAATGAGGTTCCACTCTTTTGAAATCAGCATAGCTGGAGAATAACTGAAAACTACTTCTGCTGCTTAAAGTTTAAGTTCACATTACTGTTATGTTTATTTTTGTCTAATGTCAAAAAGTAAACAAAATTATTGTCCCGGCTTAAGGAGCACAATGTTTAGGGACCTGATTAGACATGCATGCATCTACTGTATTAATGTTAGTACTAACTTAAGCCCTGATCCTGATTGTATTTGTTAACATGACTTTTGCAAAGCTGTCATGTATATTTATCTTTAGGCCTATTCAATCTGATAGCAATTACAGTTCCAAGTAATGCAAATGAGAAGGGGTTTAGAGAGTTATTTAGGGAAGCTAGTCTAAGGAGTTACGTTCAAAGAAACTAATCACTTAGGTTAGGCACGTGTGTAAACGTATAATATCAAGGCTCAAAAGCACAAAGAACGCAAGGAGCATTCAACCAACTGTAGACCTAGGAAGTGATTTTGCAATTCAGAAATACGATGGCTAAGTTTCCCCAAAGGAACAGTAAGACTACAGCCTCTAAAACATTACCAGAGCCAAAGCACTCACACGTACACCTGTCTCCCATACTCCTAGCCACATATTGCCCCATCTTCCTTCTGTCCCTATTGCCCTAACATCTCTCAAACCACAGCTTTCTAGAAGAGAAGCTATTTGTACTATCAATATATATAATTAAAAGTAGATGCCCGTAAATATACTTAACTGGAGGCTTCAGCTGCAAGAGATTATTATCAGCGGTTCATAAGTGGCAGTGCTAAGTTATTTACAATTATGTAGCTCTCTGGCTGATTTAGTAGGGCTCCTACAGCTACGCCTTGATGTTCTATGCAATCTGTACACCTAGTAAATGGATTTTCTTTAGATCTCTTTATGGCAAGACTGATCAAAGATCCAGGCAGGCCAGTGTTTTGTTGTGAGATCTCACGTCACAGAAGATGTGCTTCAATTGGCAGTACAGCTTGTTTTGATAGCCTTTAAGTATGCTGCCCTTAATGATATGCAAGCACTTTAACTGTTGGAAGTAAGTTTTGAAACATCCTTGTAGGTCAATGGAATAAGGAAACAGAGACCAGAGGAAGATGGTATGGTTCATGACTTCTGCAAAGTTTGTTTAAGCTTTGTAAGCTAGCAGCGATTAATTTAATGATCCTACAGTCAGCTAATGAAGAAAAGTATGAGAAGACCTGACTACTAAGAAATGGAAATTGCATGTTTTGTGCAGAGCAGTTACCACTTCCAGAGTGTGTGTGAGCTGATTTTCTGCGCATTTATTGAGTACAATAATAGGCCATCACTATAAAAAGCTGCAATTTATTCCTATTGCAACCTCTTTCTTTGTACCCTCACTTCCCATGTGTCTTGTTACAGACAGACCACTACATGAGCAGATTCTTAACTAGGAAGCAGAAAAAAGTATCTACAAAACTGTAATTTCTCCCTTTTACATTAAATACACTCATTATCAATTCATCAGCATAACACAGTCTGTATGTAGTTTTGGCTCCCACTCAAAGTAGTACGTGCAGTACGTAAGACAGCTGGCTTGTATTTGTTTCTGCATCTTGACTAGGTGGCTTAAAGAATGTGTTTATGTAAGAAAATTGACCTGAAGAATTGCTGTGGTGTAATTCAGTTGCTAGATCAATGCCATGATAACCTCTTCCCTCTCTGAGCAGACATCCTGCGCTTGAAGAAAAGTAATTTTGGTATAATTAACAAAAGTTAATTACTTACTGGTGTAAGTAATCAGAATAAACATGTGTAAACATCCTAGATCTGTTTGTCAGATTTCATAGTGTAGATAAAGAATGTTTTAACAAGCAGAGGGAAATCTTTATTAGTTTGCATTCTAGGAGTAAATGAGTGTTAACATATCCACAGTGAAGATGTGTAGCTGCTCCTGTCAGGTGTGATGAAAACTGAAATTGGTTGGTCTTCCACTGCAACTTTGGGAATATGGTTTCTCTGAAAATGCACTTTTATAGCAATTTACATTCTTGTAACATGCAGTTGTCTTGTTTAGTGATAGCCTATCATGTTGTACATCATTCTCTTATTTGATCAAAAATTATCAAAATTGTTCCTGTAAAGTACTTCTCTTCTAGGACATTGTGAGACACCTAGCTATGACATATTTAGAGAGCTAAGAGTTGCATCCCCTTTAAGTCTCATGTCAAACTAGCAGCTCCCTGCTATTTAAATAACAGGTCTTGCTTTCCCTGCTCCACCTTTCATTGGCGTGCTCTGTTCTTTTCCTTCTGCTGTCTTTGGCACTGAGCTAGTCACAAAACAGACAAATTGAATTTGCTAATCCAGGAAATCCGTCTCAGGTGAGGAGCAGGAGCTGCTCAGAGGGCTGAAAGGGCACTCGCCAATGCTCATCTGGCTGCCTTTACTGTCCTATGTGTTGTTTCACACTAAAAGCAGCCATCTCCAAATTCTACAGTGAAAGAGTGAATGTTCTCCTCAGCTCAGGAGGAAATGAGGAAAATTAACTAATTTAGCACCGTCCTTGCACCTCTGTGTGTCCCAGAACCACGTGTTTTACAACCAGATGCCGGAAAGCTGTCCTGCCATCTGAATTGTTTAATGAAGCGCCTAGCCCAGCATGAAGTCAGTATCAAAAATATAGACCAGTAACTCCAGAAGAAGAGAAGCGGCTCTGCTTAACGAGGAGTGGAAGTTGAGAAGACCACACTGGCAGTGTGGAGAGCGGGCATAGCCCTATTTAATGAGTGCCACGACTGCCCTGTCACAACGGGGGGGGGGGGGGGGGGGAATAGACAAC